GAATTTCGGCACAGTTATAAATTATTTTTATCTTTAAATTTATAAATTATAATTCCAGTTTCTTCAATATAGTATATGCAAAATATGATTATTGTTTATTTCTCTCCTTACTTTTGCAAACTATATGTCAGTGCTTGCAAAATAGTAAAATTAATAAATTATACGTTTTTAACTAAAAAATTAATTAAACTAGTTGAAAAAATAGCAGGTTAAGCATTCAGTATCACAGACAGTGAATCAACACTTTCAAGAATTCATTCTATAGAATAGATTCTTGAAAGTGTTGATTCACTGTCGTTGATTCACTTCAATATATTGAAATATATCTGCCCATCATCATCGGCAAAATCTACTTATATACTTAAAATTTCACTTAATGTTATTTAACTTATCCACATAATTTTAGCGAATATCATTACGCTAGACGTTTTTGTTTCACCAAAGCTAAGGAGTAATGATAAAAAATAAACTTATACAAAAAGAAAAGAAATTCTAGTGCACATTCTTCATTATTTATAAAATAATTTAAAATAATAGATGCTAATGTTGATATTTTTCTCAATATTTTTATTCCTTGAGTAAATGGGAACTTTGCTATAATGAAAAAATATTTTTATATTGAATTTTTTTTTTTTAATAATTTTATAACAGTCGTTGAACAGCCGACCTAATTTTGGGGTTACAACTACTAATGCTTAACTCCGTAGCCTTGTAATTTTGAACCAATCCAGAAGACAAGGAAACTTCTGGATCAGAACCTAGAGGTATGTTATGATTTGTTTTGGGAACATGGAGGACTTTGCAACTCGACAGATTTAACGTGCATCAGTTACCATTTACTACACGGGGAATCTTCGGCAAGAATTCGAACCTACGAATTGCAACAGTGCTCTTCAAACCAGGCTATCCCAGCCTTTTTAATGATCATTTATAAAATTTAATACCTGTTTCTGCAATGTAGAACTAAATAAATGCATATACTTGATTTCAAATACTCTTATAACATAGATTAAGGCAATTAAAATGAAATCAATAGAATCTACTGGAATATGTACTTTTTTTTTTTTTTTTTTTTTTTTTTTTTTTTATAAAGAATTTTTTTTTTTTCCTTGCTGGGATCATAAGTTTTTTTTTTAAAGGGCTGCTGCTATATTGAAGACAATTCCCAGCTTTGAATTCATACTAGAATAAATAAAATAAAAATATCAATAACTTAAGCTTTCCTACATTTCAAAATCTGAAACTATTTTATATAAAATATTGATTCAATATTTCTTTCACTTAACACGAAAATAAATCTTCGAAATGAATTTGAAATATACTTTAAAATAAAGATTAATATGGTTAAAAAATAATTTTGTATTTATAACGCATTAATTTAATAAGTAATACCAGACATGCATAACTCATTCTAACACTTTTTTTATAGAATTAAAAAATCTCAGAGCTAGAAAATTTCGTCATCTGTGTTCTAGAGGGTACCATTGAAATTTAACATTATAAAAATACGCTCTATCAAACCCACATTTACCTTAAGCTACATTAGGGCCAATTTATTAATTATTATATTATTAACCATCTAAAATAGTCGGATTTAATTATGAAATTTCAAACGAAAGCAAGAACGTATCGGTTTTCACATTACAGTATTGTAAATGAACGACAGATGAACACGTGTGACGTCAGTTCGTGTATAATCACGTGACTCTCCGTTTCAGGTAAAAATGAAAGTAAGCATATTTTGCTTAAAAATGATTCAATAAATTGCACTCTTAGGAAAGTAATAAAATATTTTCACTGAGATTTGAGGGATTAGGAATGCATTAAAAAATTTTAAAAAATTGACTGTAATTGTCCATTTTAACTTGATGACAATGATAACTGAATCCATGCTACAGGAAAAAAGAATTCCCTGATCAGTTTATTGGTTTATTATAATTACGTACATTTGCAGGCTTGTATGCTCAATTTAGGCTTACAATCAAACGGCGATATTTTTGCACAAATATAACCAAATAAGGAATAACGCTGAAAACAAGACAAATCTTAAGCTTTATTTATGTTGTGATATTAATTTTGTTAAGTTTATTTAAGGCTCACGACGTTTTAGAATTTATAAATTACAGAAAACTCTCCTGATGGGTGAAATTGGGAGTAAATTTAAACACAAATCGCAATAATAAAACTTCCTAGTATATCAAGCCTCTCTATACATGGCCTCATAAACGTAACATAAATGGAGGGATACATCGGAAATACATTGGCTCCCAGGGCCCCTCTTTCAATGAGAGCATACCTCGTATAGTTTGTCTAAAATAAGAACTCCCATAGACATTCGCCTGAACCTGTGGAGGTGACTATGGTAACGAGGTATGACTATTTCAAGTAGGGGTGCGGGGTCACTGTTTCGGAGTAGTTTCGGCTCAGGTTGGCGAGAGAAAGGGAATCTCTTCCTTCGGTCTACTGTGTTAGTCCTGTATAATAGAGCTACTCTCCCTAAAATGCGCCATTCTTGTTTCCATGGCACCAGACGGCCTCAAACTTTGTGGCGGGAGGAGTTCTTAGCTTAGACAAACTATAGCTTAAGTCTAGGGGACGATCACATTTCCAGGTCAATGACCAGTTCGACTACACGTTTATACAGAAGTTAAGAAGCCCTTTTGATTTGTCCTTTTACAAAGGATAAGTCCAAAAAACAGCTTTGCGAGAGGTAATAATCGGGTACACTACTAAAAAACTACACTACTACTACTACTACTTTTTTAGTAGTTAAAATTTACGAATCGATCTATTTATTTACTTATTTATTTATTATTTTTTTGCCCTCCTCACACGATTTTATTGATATATTTTGCTTTGGTTGTATTAATGCAATATTAGACAGCATCCATCATTTTTAGCAAATATAATCGTGTGAGTTAATGACGAGATTATGTCTTTTTTTAAATTATTTTTCTACTTTTTTATTAATTAATTTTTCAGCTCTTTTGTTATGAATTCAGTCTCTAAAAAAGTTCCTGAAATTTCAAAAACAAAATCGTTAGTTTTTTTTCCCTTTAAATTTTTATTTATCAAGAATAATTCGACTAATTTTGTTCAAACGTTCATTTAGAAATTACATCATTTAAAAGGATGTAAAAATGCGTATGTCTGACAATTCACTATTTTTTGGATCATCATAAGTTTTTCTTCTTCTTTTTTCTATTAATCATTTACTTATAAATCGTTCAAAAAGTATTAATTGCAAGACATGCAACTTTTACAACCTTATAATTTTCAACCATATAATTTTTAAATGATGAAGTCGAACATTTGAACGAATGCGGTGGAATAATTTCCTTTGAAATAAAAATTAAACAATGCACCTTTTTTTTAAAAATTTTAAATCTTTTAGACTTTAGACAGCGTGCTACAAAAAATTATTGTTACATGAAAACTTTTTTCTTCCATTTTATTCTTTTTTCAAACCGTTATAATCCTGTAGTAAACGACTTTGATTTATGCTACATATCAGATACGCTAACTTACCCATGCAGCAGTGATAAGTATTAATTACGTAAAAATAACGTTAAAATGCCACAAGGCATTTAAACGTTTTCTACCAAACGTTTTATTTTCGTTTCAAGTGGTAGTACAAATCTGTTAAGTAAACGTTAAAATTTGGGTTATTTTAAACCTAAAAATGACCTTATTTTAACTATAGTGAATGTCGTAACCAATTTTTGACGTTATTTTAGCCAAGTACGTTTCTTTTTTACCGCACTTTTAGCGTTATTATTAACGTTTATTTTCGTTTGTATAAATTTCCCTTTTTTAACCGTGAATGTTAACGTTTTTTTAATGCTTATTTTTATTATCGAGAATTTCGTAACCGATTCTTAACGTAAATTTTACATTATTTTAACCGAGATACAAACGCATTTTTTCCATGAGACAATTTACGTTTTATTGCCTTGAATATCAATGTTTTTTTTTTACCATTTATTTTGAGTTTAGTGAATTTCTTAATTTTTCACGTAAATTGAACTAATTTTTAAATGAATATCCACCCAAGGACAGGTTGGTGCCGAACCGAGATGCAGTGCATGTTTAGAATTGACGGTCAATAAAAGCTTGGAAACGTTGCACTCCAACATATAAATCGACATCGAAAACGGAACAACAAGTAAATGAATGTTCATTCAAATGCGGAATGTTACTCGAATGTAATGTTCATTCACATAACGAAGTTATCACGATATTTTCTTTTTTCATACACCTCAATTATATTTCTATACATAACATTATATCAAGTACGTTAGCGTAGATCAAGTTATGTGACTGAACATTTCTGTGTCGTATGAGTAAGCAAAATATAGCAATTTGGCGCTTTAATGCTTGTTTGCAAAAAATTCAACAAATGTGTTGTAGTTACCAAAAGAACCTTTTATTCTTAAGTACTAAATTAAAAACATAAATGTAGCACTGAAAAAATATTGCGAAACAAAAAACAAATAAAATTTTAATGTTTAATTTAACGAAAAAAAATCTCCACTTGTGAGAAAAAACACAAGAAAGTTAACTAAAAAGAAGAAAAAGAATGTTCTACTGATTCTTTTAAAAGACAAAGAGAAAACGTGAATCACCAACACAATATGTCCTTTTTTACTTTCATGCTTTTTGCCAACCTGGTTAAATATGACTTCACAGCAGTTTAAATTATGTTCTTTGAAAATAATCGTCTGCTACTATGTCTTTGAAACTATCGTCTGCTATTATGTCAATCTTCAACAAAATGATTGGGGAAAAAAATTAATTCAAGATGGCAGATTGACTTCTTTTTGTTTCCTGTAATATATTCTCTACAGATATTACCTATAAGCACAATTCCGTGCCATTTTGTTTTTCATTCCGACCAAATGGAACGCGTTATAAAATTCATAAAATACTTATAAGGTCATGATTATCAATAAATCTAGATCATGCATGACGAAATCAGATGATCACTCAATCTTTATCTGCGCATTCTTTATACTGTATCGATGGGCTTGATGGCTGTCTTCTTGAATATTCCACGAATGAGAGACATGTTTACTTGATGAAGTCATTGAATATGAAACAGAGGTGTCTAACACCTGCTTAAGATCAAACAAGATGGTTTCATCCTATAATTTTTTATTTCACGAACACCCAACGTGTTGTTGTGCTTCAGTTATAGACCATAAAAGTGCCTAAAAAAAGTTTTATTTTCTGTGTTGAAAGTGATATTTCGAGCAGATAGTTGATAGGTCGTTATAAAAAGATTAATAGTAAGTATAAATCTTTCAACAATCAATATTGATAAATTGATGCTCGATACATCGTAAATATAGTGCTAATACTAGACAATGCAATTGATTTCGATTTTGAGTTGGTTATACATTTTTATGGTTTGGTAATGTAGTTATGGCTTTAAAATACTATAATAACTACAACGAAAAAAAGGTGCAGCAGTAAATGTTACAACTAAAGAACTTTTTAATAAGAGAAAATATTCATTTAAAATGTTGATTTCTTTAAAAACTGGTGCTTCCTATGTATAGTTATTTAACTTAATACTATACCCGTAACATATTTTCTTTCTTTGATGTTTGTAATTGTAATTGTTGCAAAAACTTTTAGATGACACTAACTCATATATATGTCTCGGTTATTTTATTTATTTCTAAAATAACCCTTTCCATTTCGTAATAAGTCCTGCTCAGAAAGCACTGAATCAATTAAGTCAGAAATATTTATCAAGACGATCAAAAATAACTCTTGCTTACCACATTGTTTTAAAAACTGCGTAAAAAAATAATTATTTACCGTTGAAATAAGCAACACTAGTTAGATTAAACTAAATGTCGAAATTTACGAAAAAAATTTATTGTACAATTTTTGGTTCAAAATTTTAACCAATTTTTGGGATGTAATCCAAACCAAGAAAGTATAAATTTTGTTCTATATACAAATAAAGAGCGAGAAAAGAGCATAAAGAATGTCAAATGAACTAATATGTGATCGATTCAGTTGCATAATGAAGAACATATTTCTGTATCGAAACACAGAAAGACACACTTTCTAAATATTGACACAGAAGATTTCACGTTGATTATCGTTATTATTATATAATTTATAAAGCGTACTATATTGCTGATTAGCTTTAATGTTTTGAAAAGAAAAAAATTTAGAGTTTTATATCTAACATACTAAAGATAGAAATTTAAGTTTACAGTCAAATCTCTACAACATGTGAGAATTCAAGACTTATTTTTAATACAAATAAAAATATTTTAAATTCATTAATGTGTAAATGCTAAGCAGTACTTTAATACATTTGATGAAAGTATACCTACTGTGAAAAAATTTTTCTTCCGTTTTCAGTTGCATGGCATTTTTTTAAAAACAGATCTTAGATACAGGGGTTCGTCAAAAATATGGAAACACTTCTATACTCTATGTAAACAATTTTCTTTTAACAGCAAATATTTAGGAATTTACATGCAAAACAATGCATTTGAGTTTATGAGGCGACAAGTGAAGGTCGTATGTTTTTGGTCTTAAATATTATTTACAAAAAAAAAAAAAAANAAAAAAAAAAAAAAAAAAAAAAAAAAAAAAAAAAAAAAAAAAAAAAAAAAAACGCATACTGGTATATGCGTTCTCTATAAACTTGTACAAAAACATAAAAATGAATAAACTAAACTAAAAACAGATTGAAAAATATGTAATATTGATTCTGTAGTTTTCAAAACAAAGCTAGATTTAATATCCCCACACCTGAATTAGGTATAGTTAGTCTAAAGTTAGAACTCCCCTAGCTATTCATCTGGATCCGTGATGGTGAATATGGAACTTGAACTTGAACTATAGTAGAATACAGAGTGCCTGTCCGCGAAGCGGGCAATTGACTCTTTCATATGAGATCTTGCCCTTAAGCAACTGGAATAATGTCGATAGAAGTTAGAAAAATTCAAAGTCCTTATTGGTGTTAGGCATGAGTTGAAAAGAGGTGACTATGGTAACGAGCTATAACTATTTCAAGTAAGGGAGTGGGGTCGGCGAAAAAAGAAGAAACTTTTCTTCGGTCTATTGTGTTAACCCTAGAGAGAAGGGGAGCTACCGTTCCAGAAATGCGCTATTCTTGTTTCCATAGCAGCAGACGGCCTCAGACTTTGTGGAGGGGGAAGTTCTTACCGTAGACAAACTACAAGTTCAAGTGTTTGTATAAATGTAACAGAAAATTTGCTCCCCACTGTAATTTTCTTTCCATTGTAATGTCAAAATTATTTTATATAATTTTATTATATGAAATCAAGAATCAAATAATCACCCATTTCGGCTGGGGGGTGACTGAAAGCGACCCTTTGTATTAATGTCATAAATACCTTTAGCAAAAAAGTGGTGCGTATTAAGTGCTTAAACTAAGGTGATAATTTTAGTTTCGGTTAATAAAGTGGTTTTCAAAGAATATAGCAGAATATAAATAATAAATATAGAATATAAATGAAAGATATAGAATATAAATGAATGTTTCTAAAAACATGAGGAATGTTTTTTTCAGGCCCTAGCCTATGCATTTTGAAATGTAGCCTATTCGTTATGAAATGATTCATTTTTAAATACACAGCTATCCTAACTATAATTCTAATAGAAAATTATGTGTGTTGCTGAGATTAATCGGTAGAACCAGGATTTGACCACCAGTGGGAGTCCACCTAGCTTCAGATCGATGGGTACCAGCTTGTCTGGTAAGTAAAGGTGGCCTGTGCGCAACACCTTAACCTCTATGAATTCTCTGATCCAAAACGAACTGTTGCTGGAATGCTTTTTGAGATTGTTTTGCTGAATTATTTTCGACAAATTCTTCAAAATTTAACTATATCAAAGACAAATTGTTTCTTACGACTTTCCTTTTTCTAAAACACTAGTTTTTATTAGCGTTTACAACGCTCCCAGAGGTTCAATCCTGCCAAAAATATTCAAATGGTAATAAATTAATTATTAAAGGAACTAGAAATTTCCCTGCTCAGCAACCACTTAACTTTTAAAGTCACCTTAATTGAGATGCAAAATCACTAGATGTCAGATTTTTACAGGTGAATTTGAGTTATTACACATTTAGTAACATAAATTTTGCTACCACTTTAACCAGTTAGCTCCTGAATTTTTATAATGCAATATGTTTCTTATATATCACGGAAGGCGTTATTATAAGTTTGTTTTTTCAAGATAATTGTTAATATTGAAATAATTTTATTACCAGTTTTTATTTATTTATTTTTTAAAATGAAGGAAATCTTTTTATAAAATTCTTAGGTATCTGTTATTGTGCTACGGTACACTCTTGCTGCCATTAAAGTTCTTAAAACATAAAATATGCTCTAAATATTTAATTTAATTTGATTTTTTCATTCGTAAAGTTGAAATGTTGTGAGAGACTCAATAGTTCTTTTTTTTTGCTTGCATAATTGATCACAAAATTAATTAATTAATTGCTCTAATAATTGAAAAAAAATTGGTGACATTTCACTATTATTGAGATATATTTTCGGAATAAAAAACGTAAAAATCAGCAGTCTTTTACAAAAAGTACGTCCGTAAAGTCTGCACTTTCGAACGGTCAACGATCATAAGCGTCCCATGACTTCATATAGTTACAATTGAATTCAAGCGATATCGAAATACGTTTTAACATAAATGCACAATTTAACCCTTTTTTCAAATATTTTTATTTCTACATTTAAAGTGGTTGTAAAATTTATACTTTCTATTTAACTCTTGGGTATATGAATCTAACTTAGAATTATTTTCACACCATTGAAGTAAATTAGACATATACATAAATTAAACATGTATATAAATGTGTGATGATGAAGCAATGGTGCGCTTAAGCTATATTAAAATAAAAAAGTATATTCTAGTTATAACAATAATTCGATTATAATGTTGGTAGGTATGATTTCTGCTAAAAATTGGTAGGTATGATTTTTGCTGTAAACTTGGCTAATTATCTTGGTTTCAGTATCAACTCACTTTTGACAATTTATAGAACACTTTGTATTTCACTTTTGAGTGTTGAGTTAATGTTATTTCCATTTCAAAATAGCATCTTGTCTTTCCCTTCCTTTTAGAAAATGATTGTTGTGGTGCTTTTAGCCATAGTGCAGCTGTCTTGCGGTGCTGTACCACTTATGCGAAACATAATGGATCCACAAATTATGGGTAAGTTTTGCATCAGAAAATTGTTAACAATAATAAGCGGTATTGTATCAGATTCAGTTACTTATATGGACTAGAAATTTTTAAACTAGAAACGTATTGCATTCTAATGTATCTGCGAATGTTTATTTATATTTGTATTGCTAATACCTCAGAGTTTGATGATGTCGAAGGATTCCTCTATGAATTACCTGAAGATGAAGATCCTCTTCTTGTACAGCATCAACTCTCATCCATCGGGGCAATGCCAATTTTTGCTTTATTAGAATCAGCCAAGAAAGGAGGAAATTTCAAGTAACGTTTATTTATTATTATTTTTCAATTTATAAATAATGTCAGGAAAAAAGTTAATCTAATCTGAAGAATATTTCAAAATAACCCAATCACAGCAACAACTCGATGTAACGACTACGGCAGATTATAAGGAGTAGGGGAGAATGGGGTCAATTGTAACATTTTTTACTTAACTATTTTTAACTAACAAAAAATCCAATATATTATTAGTATTAATTGACAGACGAGTAAAGTAGACTATTCTCTACTAGAAAAAAAAAAAAATACCTTATTTTAAATGTTATTATATTAGTTATTAACAATTTTTGACAGTCGTGCACTTGTTACAATTGTCCCCACTTACGGGGTCAATTGTAACAGTTCATAAATTCAACTAAAACATAGTTAATTATACATATTATCATAGTTGTGATATATTTTTTTATTGATCAAAATAGTAGTGATATTTTAGGAGTAAAAATAATAATGAGCAGAGACCTAAAGGGTTAAACTTTTAACTTTAAGGGGTTAAAAATTTTAATTTATGCTGTGAAAGGTGACAAATAAAATAATGCACATGCAACATAATATAAATGATATAGGAAACTATTGGTGGTTCTTAAAGAGTTAAGTAATGGTTTGTAAACATAAGATTATTTATTTTCAGCTGTTACAATCGTCCCTTTACTTATTGTTACAATCGTCCCCAAGACGCCATTTCAGCTTCATTTGTTAAAAACAATGCTAGTTAATTAGCAAAACTAATTTTTTTTTTTGAAATGTTAATTAAGGTGTCCACTTACATATTCGGTTAATAATTTTTATTTGATTAAGCAAAATTACTTTGTTACAATATAATATTCTAATATCAAAAAAAGTACTTACGTAGCGTTAAAATATCTTTTGTAATGTAACTCTTTGAAAAATACATAAAAATGGATGGCAGCAGGTGTGTACATGTAGATTTTTTAAATACACGTTGTGCGCCACCTAGGAACCAAATCTAGAACCCGACACTCGAAATTTTTGCTCTGTTACAATCGTACCCTGTTACAATTGACCCCACTCTCCCCTACGCTTCTACTACAAGTTTCCAAATATATCGTCATACGCTAATATTAAAGATACAAAAAATTTTTGCTCACAAACAGTTAATAATGGACAAGTCATCTTTTCAGTTTGTGATGTAGTAAAATTAACTGTTAATCGAACTAATAGCCCAAACTTAAATGGGTAGCACCTCATGTGACCCTGATTCGTCCCTCTCGGCACACAGTGGCTTTTCTTGTTCTATTTTTGCATCCTTATTATTGTTTCACTCTCACCTTTAGGGGCCTCCCTGGTCGAGCGGTATCGTCGGTCCAAACGCTCTGTAAAGCGTGGAGCGGGTTCGAATCCCGCCGTAACCCTGGATGTATTCTTTGTGATGCCTTTCTCTGTATTGTTCTATCTGTATTTTCTACTTGACAATGACTTATAAGCCTATATTGAGCACACAAGTCAGCAAATGTATGTAATTTCAATAAACCAACCAATCTCACCTTTATTTTCATTTATCGTTTTATATATCAAACAACTTTCCTTTCTTTTCGTTCACGCTTGACAAGTCCGAGATATAAGAGATGGGGCGAATATTTTGGAGAGCTTGTAACGTGTCGACTTTTATTTCCATTTGCATATTTTTGAATTAATCAAGCAATATCTTACAGCTTCAGTTTCTTGGGATTGTTTAGATAATTATATATTTGTGTTTGCTCAGGACCGACAAGCTTGTTACCCTTACCATTGCGAATTATAGTAAAAACAGACTTTTTCTATATATGGGGCTATCACCTGAAGTTGATCCATATGGATTTTAATACAGAGAATTTGCACTCTCATGTATACATCATGTACCTCGCACGCTCACATGAGTAAGTTTTGCGCAATAAACTTACCTACTTACCACAAGACAAACTCGGTTCTCAACAAGGCTTGAGCAGAATCTACATGCGGGAGGCTTTACAGCTTTTATCCTTTACAGCTTTTATTTTTTTTTGTGATCCATGTCGTGTGGCCTCGGAATCCAAGTTCGAACTTAATGACTATGACTATGAATTATCTCGTACAAAATCTGTAAACGATGATGTGTAATGTTATCTTTAAAAATATAACGCCAAGTAGTATTACCGTGAATTTATAACCACTAGAAAAATTTAAACGTTTGCAGATACCGCAGATACATTATGCAAGATTTTCAATGTTATATTTATAAAAATAATATTTTATAATGTTAGTTACCACTTAATATTAAAAAAAATGATAAATGTATTTAGAAAAACTATGAATCTTAAAACTGAATGCTTCATATTCATAACATATATCAGACTGATATTAACATATGCATCCTAGCCTGGTGCGACCTAAATAAATCATAAATTAAAAAAACCTAGTACGTTTCATTATAAATTACTCAGATGAATGCCTGGTCTTTCACTTCCTGGTCCTGGTCACCTTAACAGAAACTCTAATGACTCTGAATTACCCAATTTCACAGGAATGCAAACAATGTAAAGCAGCGAATTATAAAAAATAAAAAAAATTGAAGCAGAAATGCTTAGTGAAGAACACCGTCCGAGATATTCTAAGACATTTGTTATTTTCTATAATGACTTTCCTCAGTTTTTGCAGTGAATTTACAAGAATTTAAAACTATGATCGAAATGCCAGTTTTCGCGATTGATACTTGCAAAAATTCTGATATAAAAACAAAAGGAAAAAGTATAATTTTTCGCGTGTTCCCTAAAGTAAATGAACAACTATGTAGAGAATGGTTTCCAAAATGACACAGTTAATATAAAACAGCAATACGTTTATTCTGTCGTTAAGATTAATACATTTTTAAATATGAATCAAAAAAAA